CCCCAAAACCCCAAAACCCCAAAACCCCAAAACCCCAACCATGATGTCTTGAATTGAAACTATTAAAATATTACTAAATTCGAAGATGGAAGTAATCTCAAATGACACTCATGGCCTTTCCGGTTCCTCAGTCTCGTCCAAATCCAAACTAAAAAAACGTGAAAAGAAAGATCTCAGACTGAAAGCCAAAGAGTATCGTGAACGCAAATAAAGAATACATCAAAGAAATGGAGACCAAAATTCAGCAATTACAGGAACAAAACTTCGCACTCAAAAAGCAGAATGAAAGGCTCTCTAGTGCAAGACAAGAGTGCAAGTACTGAGCTACACAGACTGAAAATCTGAAGCAAAAGATTGACTTTGATGAGGAGTATGTTTACCACAAGATTCCTAAGATGATGGCCGACGACCCTACCAGTGTTAGATTTTCCCAAATGACCCAAGCAGACCGTAATGTGATGGACTTCTCAAAGAACAGGATCAATCTGATCAAATAAAGCCTTCCGTGATATCCTAAATTACGGAGTCTCCAAAGAAAGCCGCTGCTATGTAGCAGGTTTTAAATAGAATTAAAATTTGACAACTTATACCAAAACTTAAAAGATCAAGAAAAATAAGCTGCAAAATGGAACGACTGAAAGATTTGACTCCAGACAAAGCACTTCTCCTCCTAAATTTCTCAAACAATGCTATGGAATACTGGCGGAAACATTACCCTGAACAGCTCATAATCCTCAAACGAAATTGTAGATTAATGAAGAAATTAGTTGAGATCAGGAACGAGCTGTTAAGAAATATAAAAGATCTCCTCAAACATTACGACACCAGAAACGTTGACTGTGTTTATAACAAAGGAGACTTCCTAACACATTGCGAATACATCAGGAGGATGGAAGATAGCCCATTCACCTCAGTTCACTCAGTCTGTGAACTCCCTCTCAGAGACAAAAACTCAGATGAATACAACGATTGTGAACTATCTGATTAGAAAAAGAGTAATCAGGCTCCCTAACAAACATAGTTAATATTATTCAATACATCTCAACCCCAGTGGGGTTTTGGGGTTTTGGGGTTTTGGGGTTTTGGGGTTTTGGGG